TTAAATAATTTGATATGACATCCTTGTTAATTTCGACAATGTTATTGGAATATACAATTGTTATATACAATTTCAGTAATGTTACCTATATTGTTCAATAATAAGCGCTGGCTTTGTAAATTCTCATTGCTTATGCGTCTAATGCAGCCTGGTAAGGGATTAACTTGCCTTAATAAGCCAAGAAACACCACTGTAGGGTACACCCCCCTTTTTTAGGGCTCCGCACCAGTTAAACCGAGTCAAGCCAATTTAAGGCGAGTATAGCATTTCCAGACATACAAAAATAGGTCCAAAAATTATTATAAGTATTGTTTTCCTTTGTCCAACACAAGGAGGTAAAGAAAAAGTCGATAAAGTTTTTCATATATTCACTCTACTTTCTCTTTAATTTGCCTTAACAACATTATTATTTATGGTTGTATCAATAAATTATTTTTCTTATCTTTAGAATTCAACATCTAATTCTTTGTAATGGACCGAGGTTATAAATAACAACAAACAATTTGCTTCTAATACATTATGTGACAATAGCTTTTGTAGTAACTTATCTATAGTTGTCAGGGCACTTTGGCGTCTTGTGATATGTATTTTGTTACAATAAAGGTTAATATCGCTTGACAATATTACGGAAGTGCACCTTCATCAAAGTTATACTGCCCATATTGTTAATAATAGTTATCTAAAATGGAATCCGGTCCTATTACGTAAGTTTTATATTCGCCATATCTATATTTCTTAAAATGTATCTAATGTGTGGGTTGTTGTCCATTTTGAATATATAACTTGCATCTGATTTTGCTTGCACGAAAATAATATTAAAATACTTTTAAGGATAGTTCATTTTAATATATTTGTGTTGTAAATAAATCAAAAATAAAATATAATTTGTGTTGTAAAGAAATAAAATATGTGGCTCGGCCTTATTAAAACCGTATTTCCATGAGGATTTTCCAACCCGACAGCAAAAAAAAAAAAAAACCGTATTGGAATTGAAATATATTAGCATCAAAGTCATAAATTTTAATAAAAAACGCTTTTTTTATTAGTTTAAACTAGACATTTTAGTTATATTTTTAATCTGTTGGTATTTAAAATTTTTGGTACATAATATATACATATGTACACTTGCTGATGGGTCAATAATCGATTCAGAACGGTAGGGTTCTAGAATTCATACTTCAATACTTACAGTCTTCAACAGTCATAGTCTAGCCAAGGCGTAAAAAGAAGTGACCACAAACTAGCGATCAATAGGGTTTGTGAGTGAGGGCTATAAAATCAAGTGTCATGACTTATTCTATCTTTAAAGCGAATCTGAATTGGATTATAATGATGAACACGTATGAGAAACAATATAAACTCCAGGAAGATATTTTTGCGTCGGCGTCAAGACCCTATATATTTCCGTATTCGAATTTTTTGAAGCGCGCTGTTTTGAAAGAGTTTACGGTTCCATAGAAACTGAAAACCTTCAAAGACGATGCCACTAAGGTCAATAAATATTATGAGCCGTCTAACGAACTCCCTAGGAATATGTTCGTCGTAAACTTGTACTCGATAAAAGTGGGAGCGTGCGATATAACATCTAAATCTCTCTACAACCTATTAAAGGATTTAATCCTGTCTAGAACTAAAATAAATTTATGCTGAGAATGTACTTCGATTGCAGCCCTAAAGTAACCTACTAAGGTTCGTTTCAAATTTTGTTAGGTGAAGAGAGGAGCTTGTCCGGTGGAAGGGAGCGTTTAACACGTGTTAAAAAAACAACGTTCATTTAAACATATAAAAAAAAAAACAAATACCGGACAGGATTTGCACGAATGAGTGGTAATATATGTAAGTGCTGCACGGTTTGTCAATGCGGCCATTGACCTTGGATAATCTGCCGAGCGCCTTTTACTTTAACCCTACTTTGGGGTTAACTGTTACACGACATGCAATAGGCAGACGAACAAGTTAGAGGCTACGTGACGTCAAAATTTTGAGTTCATGAATCTTTTCATAAACTATTTTTCAGACAATTTTTTTATATTTTTAATATAGATATTGTTTTAATGTAATTCGAATATCTTACTAGATTAGTTCTGTATGCAATGTATGTTATCTTCTGATGTGGTCTCTTTATATACTACATGTCCAATTCCATCCATATATATACGTTTCTATATATACATCATATAATAACTTTATGTGCCTCCAAAAACATTTTAACTTTATTTATTTTCTTGATTCAGACTTGATTAAACTAAATAATTATATCACAATACAATTTAAAGTATTTCTTTACAATCATCGTCAAAGTATTTAACAATGACAATCATGTTTGTGTACACTTCTGTAAAAATATTTGTAAATATGCTTCCAATTATTTATATAGATCAAAATGTCAATATGAAATGACTCACGTAAATCCAACATGCACGTTCCTGAATTTCAATTTATTGATAATCTTTTTTATAGTTTTTGGTATTATTTAGTTATTTTATTCTGTAACAATTTTGTTTACATTTATTGTAGGTAATTTATAAAATAAAAGTCTTTAATAACTTGATTACAAAATACATTATATAATATTATTTTATCTTGCTATTAATTTGATATTCTCTGTACTCCTTGGATTCGTATGTATATTTTTCCGATAGTTATTTGTATGAAGTTCATACTAAAATATCTTAAAACTTCACTTTGTTATAATTTCATAATAAATTGTACACTTCACTTTTCTCCTCTATTGCTTCACTTTAAGATCAATTGAGTGTTTGTTGAACATTTTTTAATAAATTGCCCTTAATTGACTTTAATTTTTAATAATTAATATAAGTATTAATGCAATATAGACATTCCGAAACTCAATTCATATTACAAATAATAAATAAATTACTAAAAACAATACAAACACACATATTTATATATGGATGTGTGTGTCTCCAATACAATACCGCGTCCAATTTCTTCAAACAATTGCATTTTCTGAAAGGTAAGCGTTCTGAATTCGGCATCTTATTGCTTCATCTATGAATTCCGCTGATTCACATGCGAACGATAAGTAACATGAACCCGGTGAGATTGATTGAAGTTCGCTTTAACCTCGAACTATAAAGATTTATTTACTTGAAACTTAAATAAATATATTTAATCATATTAAACGAAAATATCATTAAGTAATATAGATGTATATATAGCTATCTCATTGTAAATTGATTTGTTGATTCATTCTCTTAATGATTTTATATCATTTTACTGATTACTATATATATAATAAGTTATTATTTTTTCCGTAATAAAACATATTAGTTGATAAAACTTTTATATATGTAATTTTTTATAATATATTATGACCTCGATAACCTAAATAACCTCGATACACAAATCTTGGCATATTTTATGTAATATTTTAATTTATATATAACAAATAGTAGTTTTAAAATGACTTAGTCACTGACAAAAATATATTCATGCTGTAACTAGAATGACTAGAGAACACCACAAAATAGTAAATGATGTTATAAATATAAAATAACAAAACACTATGATGTCACTGTGGTCATTATAAGAAGAAGAGGCATTGTAACGTTTTATATATAATGATAAAAATAATTGTAATTCCTTGAAATAATATCATGTTACGGAATAATGCTTAAAAACAACACACACACACACACACATACACACAGACACACACATATATAAATTATATGTGTGTGCTAATCATAAACCCTGTCAATACAGTGGTTGATAGATTAATATAAAAACGCACTAAATAAACGAATACTTATGAAACGAAAACTATTTTCTTCCACGAGTATATTATAAAGTTACAATAAAAATGTAGCATCAAATATAATTTAATATTTAGATTATTTGTTAATAACAAGTTAAATAAATTAAACTTATATTACGTTAACAACGTATTTTACTGAGCAAACGTTTACTTAACCAAGAATACGTGTACATAGTTGGTAACTTTAGTATTAATTAAATTATATCCTATACAAGATTAGCTTTTATTATTGGATGTTCTAAAACATTATATAAATTAAATAATTATTATTAAATGAAACAAATATTTTCGGATTTACTACGCGATTTTTTATTTTCGACTATAAACTAAAATTTAATACTAACATGTTTCGGCTACTTTACAGCAACAGTGATCACGGGCAGACGAGATGTGAATGTCTGTCACGTATGTAGTTTATAGTCGAAAATAAAAAATCGCGTAGTAAATCCGAAAATATTAGCTTCATTTAAATGAGTACTTGAGAAAATCTTAGATCTCATTATAATTTATAATTATTATTACTCCAAAATCTCATAGTTTAATTTATTGTATAAATATGTCAAAATTGCTGACACTCAATACTGAGCCTGTTAGAGATAGGTATGTTGTAGTTCGCTGAGATTTATTACTTACAACCACGTCATTGTATCCCGAAGCTCACTAAATTAGTTGCCTATACGGTAACATATATGAATCTAGCGAATTTGATATGTCATTGAACTTTAGATAAAATTTTGATAACATATCAGCATTAGAAGACGACCTTCGTCAAACTGAATGATATATATTACTTGGGTTGTGTTGATAAACTATTTAATTAATACTAATAGAATATGTAATGAATTCATTTAAAAAAATATATAAGATGAATTGATTCGATTTAAAGAACAATAGATCCGTCGGAATTAGAGAACTTTTCTTCCTTGTTGGTTTTATAAACTCAGTTGAGAATGTTTTCTAACTTCATCGTTTTAATCAACGCTTTTAAAATTCTCTAAGTTGTTTTAGAGCTTTTAGATTTTTTCTTTTAATTTATACAGATTCATTATTAATGTAACTTCGTTAGCCTATTAATGGCTATTACATAAAAAAAATATATAATCTTGCTTAGTTGTCGTAAATTAATTTAAAACCATATTTGTCATTATATAGGTACATGGGTACATAGTACTAAATATAAATCTTCTGTTTCAGAACTTGGAAGCAAGGGGAATAAAAAATGGCTCGCTGGGGTATACTCCCGTTGATATGCGTTGCATTCATCTTCGTCGAAGCTCGCTTCCATCAGAAACGTGAAACTAAATCTCACGTCTGCGATCCGGTGTACACCAACACGAACAAAATACAATGCTACTGCATTAAGGACACTCGTAAACAGGATTTGATACGTAGCGCTGAATGCTCATTGACAGACGAGATCCCTTCCGACGATGATAATTGGAATTCATTTGATGAAATAGAAAGCGTCGGCAAACTGTCGTTCCGGAATGCCAGAGCGATCACATTCAAATATATCCCGACAAACGCGCTCAAACATACCAAAGCTCTGTCTAAATTGGAATTGAAATATGGAAATATCGAAGTCGTAGAATCCTTTGCGTTTGCGAATCTGAGTCTTGTGAGAGAGATCACTCTGTCGGATAATCATATAAAAGTTTTGAAACCTAACGCTTTCGCACATCACAAGGAACTCGTGACTATTGTTTTGGACATGAATGAAATCGTTGAAATCAATCGAGATGTTTTCGTCGATTTGCCAGCTCTTGAGAAGATTTATCTGACTAGCAACAAAATAACGACCATCCACGATAGAGCGTTCGTTCATTTGGTCAATTTGAGAGATTTGCAAATTGATACGAACATGTTGTTCAGTTTGAACAGCGAAACATTTGCTGGATTGAAAAAATTGGAGAAATTGGATCTGAGCAGCAACAGTTTGGAAGTTATCGGTGATAATACGTTTTTGCCGTTAAAGAACTTGCAATCATTAAATTTGGACGGAAATAATATTCAAATGTTGGATGAGAAAGCATTCAATGGTCTCGTTAAATTACGCTCCTTATCGCTAGCTCACAACAAACTGACGGATATAGATAACGTAAAAATATTCAAAGATTTAAAATCATTGACGCTGTTGAATTTTAAAGGGAACCAATTGAAAATTCTCAAATCGGAAGTGATTTCGCCCATTCTGCATAACTTCTACAATAATATAAGCAGTTTGAACGTGGATGGTAAGACTAATGGCTCATACTAAAATTAATGCATTTTTTCGTCCCTTTAACTTAAACTATAATTTTAACATTACAGATAACAACTTCCCGTGCGACTGCAGAATTGATTGGTTCGTTTCACTCATGAACAAAACCGGGAGTCCACATTTGAAGTTATCAGTGGAGAACATGAAGTGTACACCCAGCAACGAACTCAGAGATAAATGGATCAAAGTGACAGAAAATGATAAAAAGGACGAAGAAGATAATCTACCACCGAGTGAGGATTACGAATATTACGATGAAAGTCAACTAAACGGGAAGCTTTTCTACACTGATGTTAGATTCCTTCTCAACTGTTCTGATAAAAATGCACCAAACATCGTAACATCAAGCCCACTGAGCACTTTAATAAAACAAACAAAAGACACAAAGGAATTGAAAGTATCAACTGCCATACCAGAAATAACGACGACCAAAACCAAATACACTGAAATGGAAAGAGATTCTGAACTTAAAGAACCAAAGGAAAAGCAATCAGGCTATACTACAAGCAGACTAGCAACGGTCTCAGCAAAACCAGTGGAGAAAAATGATATTGATATTAAACAAGATACGTCAAAGAACGGAAATAAATACGACGATCGTGAAATGGCGTCCGATGAAGCTAAGCCGGATAAAATCAAAGCACATAGCTTCAGAGATCTCAAAGATCATGATTATAACGGCGCTATTAAAAACATGGCGTCGGTTTACTTGCTTCTCGCTATATTTATTAATTTCTTTTAAGCTGTAGCATTATGTCTAGCTTAAACTACAATTGTCTCACAGTCATTAATATATTAAATAATTAATTTAAGGTAAAAGTTGTTTTATTTTCATTCCTATTAGGTTTATATAAACAAGTAAAAGTATCTTGAAATTAAATAAAAACAAATTGTTACACAATAAACCTCTCGTAAACTATAAAGTGTTTCCTTTTGTCTATAAGATATATAGTTAATGAAATCCAACACTGTTGTCATTGCATCAACTCGATTTACGATATTTGACACTAAACATACAGGCAATATTTTAATATATTAATATTTAAAGACAGTACATATACGTATCAGTATAATTATATATTTAATGACCTATTTCAATAATATATATCTTAATATTTGATGCTGTAATTTAAACATTAAAGTTATCTTTAAATATTTTTTAAGAACAGCGCCATCTGTTGCCGCATTTAAGATCTATCACGTCTAGCGATTCGGCTTGTCTTATTAGACGAAACGTTTAAGTAATAATCTCAAGGGAATACCATAGATGGCGACTGTAACGCCTTATATAAAAATTTCAGCAGGATCTTTATATACTAAGTATGTTTATAAATGGTAGCTAACGCTTTCACAGGAACAGTATATGATTATGCTTACGAATAATATTTCTTGAAAAATTATAATAAACAAAATATATCAACGCAGCTTTGTTATTTGTAGTATTTCAACCTTGTACTCTATTTTTTAAAGTGTTTGATTAATTATAAATGGTTGGCTATTTCATACACATATGTGCCGAAGGTACCTTTTTACTTACAAAACAAATTTTCTAGTTGCTATCCTCGATATGATATTCATATTACAAAAACTGGCTTTCAACAATTTCGATTATAATACTAAATATTTATTCATGAATGTTAAAGGGATAAAATTTCAGCTACATTTTGAACTATAAACTCGGCCATCTTTTATCTACACAAAATTCTGTATACATTTCAGACAGTTCAACCTTCCCAAAATAACCCAAGACTAATTGAGAGAAGAAATAAAGAGGCAATTAAAAAAGTTATTTTTGTTTTCAACAAGTAAATAGCAATTAGCATTTGACAAAAGTTAGTTACGTGATTTATTTGGAATCAGAATAGACTGTACTACTTTTACTATACTACCTTAACTTGTATGTACGTATGTTATACTTATTTTTGGACTCTATAATAAATTCTTATATTCTGACTTATATTTTATACATTTGAATGAAGATGAGTATTAATAATTTCCAGGTATAACTCTGTATTATCTCTAAAAATAAAATAATCTCTCTGAATATTTATTCATAAAAATAGCTGTTTAATATCCGTTAAAAGATATCTGTTTTACCTTTAAACAAGATCATCTCACTCGGGTGTTACAATTGAATTTCAGCTCTTAATCCTTAGCGTAAATTTATTTTAATTAAAGCTCTCCATTAGAAGTTAATTTTCACGAAACTTTTTTATAATTAAATTATCTTGGGAAACGTTTCCTTCATCAAATTAACCGCGTTGGCTTAATATTCTCGGAAAAGAAACCACTTTGGTGAAAAACTCTTACAGATTTCTTTTAAACAAAATAATATATTTATTTTTTGATTAATAAAACCTTTTAGTACCTTAATTGTTGTTAAAAATATGTTTCAAAGCTTATTATATAAAGTAACAAAGAGTATAATCAATTAAGGCATAAAAAACAAAACATATGGATACATTTTTTAAACAAATATCATTTATTTCTCGCACTTCTACGCACATCAGGTTATTCCGATATCTGTAATGAAACCAAATGAAATTTGTATCAAATTCTATAGACGAAAAAATACTAACTTATACAACAAAGCCACAAAAGACAAACTCCCAAATTACATTTGGCGTACAATAAGATTATTGAATACAACACGTAAATATTTCGGATATTGTGGCATTATCCAGCTTTCTATATTATATTATTCTGATTGATGTAGGTAGTACGTGCTACCGGAGATTCTGTTTTATTTTATTGATAAAGGGATTGTGTTCTAGGACTAACATTTTCAGCCTACGCTGAATCCTTCTACATTTTCTAATATAAATTACATGATAAAACATTTGAGAGTCACAATTTATTTTAATTTACAATCGTTTCTTGATAGATTTATAATTAGACATACATTGATGTGTAAATTGATTGTTATATGGAATAGTAAAAAAGTAAATGCTTTAAACAGAAAAATTAGAATTTTAAAAACTGTTACATATAGCCATTAATTAATTAGTGACTTGTTCTAAATATGTCTGAATGAGCTGAGCTATTCAATAGCTAAATGTCACACGACGGCTTTTTAATCTTTATGAACATGACCTATTTCAAGCTTCATAAAGAGCTTCATGAATTTATCTGAGCTCTATATGTATTAAAAACTTACCATTTCATTTAGTATGTAAGATTTACTTACTTATATATTAAATTCATTTATTCGTAAAAAGATAGTCTTGCTTAGATCCTTACTTGAATTTATCAAGGCATATAAAATCAAACGTTAATTTAGGAATAGAATTTAGGAATTAGCTTTGAAAAACTTACTAAGTATTTATAAGGAGACAAGAAGCAGAAGCCGTACGTACCTGTAGCAAAAATACTGAGTTATATTTGCAATCTGAAAACAGTTTGACGCACATTGAATGTTTTGAGCAGTAACTAATCGCAAATAAAATAAAATAAAATCAGCGAAAATGTGAAGTTACCTTTGTTTCTTTGAGGAAGAGATTTATCATTTTTCTCCGGCTCAAGTGGGAAATCGGAGGTGTATGTGGGACTCACCGGGACAGGTGTGGAACTGCCCATCAGAACAAAAGAGAAACCGTCATTGTCTTGGTAGATCCCCACGGGGTCGCTTGCATGTTGTTCCGTGAATTCTGGCGTAATTTCTAAACCCTAAAAAGAGTACGATGTAAAGTTACCTACACCTGGTTGTGCTGGTTCTGCGAACCGGTATAAATCGTTTCCGTTTATATACAAACAAACAGTAAAATTACAACATTATGTTTTGCAATCAAAAACCTTCGGCGGCGGCAGAACGGCATCTGACCAGACTATGTTAACTATGGAAACTGGTACCAGTCAACCTCTATCTAGTATTAGCAAAAATATATAAGTTAAGAAACATATCTTAACACATCGACTAACAATCGAGAACATGTACGGTCTAAGGTCTTATAGCATTTTATAACATCTGATTGATTGTTTTGTTATTGGTTGGCAGATTTAAAATCTGACTTACTGAAAGTGATTATATAATTATTAATAGATAATTTTCATAAAAATAAACTATAAAGTTAATTACTTTTTAAATATACAATCGTTGTTTAACGATTGTTATACCAACAGCGAATCTAAATAATCTGTTGTCTATCTTGTGAAGTGTAAGTGCAAATGTACTCCGCATTATAATATGTCATTAAAGACATCTCTGACGTGTGACACGAGAGCACACAGCGGGCCAGAGACACTCAAGTCAAATCCACAGAGGTTTCATCTATTATATTTGCTGTAGATAAACTTCACAAATATGCATGGGAAAAGCATTTACACTAAATGATCACAAAACTTTTGTTAATATATTAAGAGCCAAAAAAATACATTCCTAGTTCTAAGGCTAGTAGATTACAACCTTGGGCTATCGAGTTATAAAATTATGATTTTGAATGAATTCATTACATCGGTATAAAATATAGGTAAGGAAGTCTTGTGTTTAGTTAAAAATCGTTAAGATTCTTCCATAAATGAAAACTAACAGGAAATATTACATTTAGATGCCGGAGCAATACTTTAAGATTTAAGATTAAAAGATTCTGAAGAAGTCAATTATTTAACTTCTAGTTTAATTAATGATATTTTAAAAAATGAACAATATAAAGAATTAGAAAGCATTTTAATAGGGTAGTAATACATGTTTTGTAGAGAAGAATTCTTAAAGAATTACATTTTGTGACATGACATGACATAGAGACACGTACCAATCAGAAGTGAGGAGAGGTCAAACTACTAGGTATGTGGCTCAGCGCGGTCTCCCAAGGGTCTGACTAGCATGACCTTTTGCCAAAATACACGTCATATTGCTGGGAATATTGTTTACTAGCATGCCGACAAATAAGGGCAGTGGACAATCATCGGAAGATGTGCCATTTTGGGACTTGTACTAAAATAAGATTATGATGTACATATGTAATTTTTTTTCAGAATATTTGCAGTTATCCAATATGTACACTTTAAGACAATTTGTGGAGATAAAGTTAGTATTACTGACAAAATAAATATATAAATAGAACAGTATTTTTTAAAATATTGTTAAATTCACGAAGCCCATCATGATTCATGTCATTGTAACGCAGATATAAAGGGTCCAAAAAGTACAGCCGTTCATGCTGCGGTAAGCAGCTCTTTTCAGTCCTTATGACTATGAAAGCTTCTATAGTCACAGAAGACTGCGTAAACAGTCTAGACTGTCTAGACCATGTCAAATAAGTTACGGTATAAATGATGTCTCCAAAAATAGCGTTTATTTAACCTTATACTCATTTGAGCAGCACCATTTTTAAATTAGTGTTAAGCTACATATACATATATGATACACTCAAGTTATTTGGTATTTAATTGTAGGTGCCTAAGAGTGTTGTATACTTAAGTAATGTGTAGTAGTGGTTTCGAAACAAATATTTGCAAGAACACACTCCTTTTATTTAGCGAAAAGAAAATCCAATCTTCTAAAATATCGTAATTTTATTCAGACTCCTTGTAACCACGAGCTTGAATTGTAAGCTCTCTTTAACTTTGTCGAGCGTTTTGTTTACAAATAGTTTGACGTAGTCTCGACTCTCGACGTATTTCATGGCAGAATTATTATGTTGTAAGAAATTTTTACTATTCTATACGAGGGAATAATATTTATTTTTATTTAGATCTTTTTAAATGATAACATAGATTGGTATTATCGTTTGTATTTAGTTATAT